TGGAAACCATTTTGTAATCCAAATTATGGTTTGAACCTTGCAAATGTGCTCTGGGTCTTTAATTTGGACCCATTTGAACTCGAATTGAACTGAATTTGGTGTCGTTGTGTTTATATTTCCGAGACGACTAGTTTGACTGTAAGTTTGCTGAAATCGGAGTTCAGATGGTCCCAATTTTAATTTTGAAAGTTTCTAACTTGATTTTGCCTCGAGATTTGTGTCTGATTAAGATCTTTTATTATTATTATTATTATTTTTTTTTTTTTTTGGCTTTGACTATTACAAAAAATTGACTATAAAATAGAATTAGAGATCAGGAATTTATGATACTTTAGTCATTTATATTGAGAAATAAATAAATATTTGATGATAATCTATATATTTTTAAAATTTATCTCTCATCAATTACAAAAAAAGCCTATTATCTCCATCAATATTTACCAACCTTACCACTATGAATTTCATTGAACTATCCATAATCTCTTACTTCATGCTATTAATGTGAGCATGAATTTAATTACTTCAGCCCATCACCATATAATTGCTGGCCTAAGAGATGGTTAGGTGATGACTAACTATATATGCATTCAAACTTGCTAATTCAACCCTAAGAAAACAAAAAAATGTAAAAAATTGTGAAAATATTGCAATTGATAATTATTCCAAAATTGCTCTTAAATTGCTCTTTTGACCCAATTATTTTCATGATTAGTTATTGCTATTAACTAATTAGTGGTTGTCATTAAGGAATATAATAAAGTCTAATGACTTTTCAACAAAAAATAGTATTGTTATTATAAGATAAATAAGAATAGTTTATGCATAGTAGACTTTTAAACAAATATTCATAAGTAATTTATCATAAAATTTTGATACAATTGGGGAGAGCTGAATTGGTGTTTAATTTGATTTTATTTGATTACATTGACTATTGGATAAGCTTAAAATGGGAAAGATAAGTTTCAATACTTTTTTTTTTTTATGGGAGACATGCATTTAGGCCAATTAAGCAGGAAAACTCACACACGCATCACATACGTAGGACCTGAACCCAAGTCCTTTTTATTTGGTAGCCAAAGCTTCCAACCAACAGACCAAGATGAATTTTGTACTTTCATACTTTATGTAGGAGTTTTTGAAAGCTTAGGCCTGATCAAATCAAACCCTACATGTAAAAATAATAAAAAATAAACTGGTTGAACTGGTTCACGATGGTCGGTGCTAGACTTTAAATTGTTGGATATATAGTTCGTCTTTTCATTATTGGCATAGCAATGGCTTATGATCATGACAAGGTACACTTTTTCTACAACTTGTCTGAGAGCACATGGAGAATTCGGTTGCATTTGGGACAACTTTCCTACTTCTTTTTAAAATAGCTTTTGTACAAAAAAAATTTTGACTTAAAATTTTCTCGAACTCGATTAATCAATCAAGCTCAAGCTCAAACCAGGGCTGACTCGTGCTCTACTCAAATCGTTTACATCCCTGATTTTGTAGAAGCTTTTCAAAAAAACTATGAAGTAAAATTAATCCATATTTCAGAAGTTAGAATTTTTCGTAAGGAATATATAATGTAAGCTAGTTCTCACATAAATTTCAAGCATATGAGACTAAGGCTTCGTTTGGGACGGTTTTTTTACTGTTTTCTAAAACGGAGTAAAAAAGCCGTCCCAAATGAAGCCTAACTCAATGTCATAGCTAAATACTTCCTCCTTTATTTGCTTTTCATTGCTAATCTCAATATAAACACTTCTTGTAAGAAAATATATAACAAGTTAGAGTTGTTTGGTCATATGATCTTAACCACTTCGATTGGCCAACAAATATTTCTTCATCGAGAAGCTTTTTGACTGTAATGTTCTTTGAAGTAGAAATGTTGTCTTTGTAAATAAATAGAAGTATATTTTAATTAGTCGTACAATGGAGCAAATAAAAAATATAAGTAATTTGGTTTGCTGCAGCTGTCTTGTAAGACTAACATATGGATGACCAATTCAGATTAATTATAATTGCGTTGTATAAAGTACTTATTCAAATTTTCTTCAACTTTGATGCTTTTTGTCCAATGAGACTATTTAAGCTGAGTTTGGGCGAGTTTGTTATATGAGCTCGGTCCAATTTTCGTTTATTCAAAACCGGTTATTGTTCGACGGCGTGTTCATGCTCGGCTGGTTTGAATTTGAGCCAAATATGATCCAATTTCTAAAAAAAAAGTTAAAATGAATAGATAGCGAGTAGAACATATATAATAGCATCATTCGACTTATCTACAATCGAATTAATAAATCTAAAAAATATATATTTATTCATTTATTTCAAATTATGAATAAGGTAGATAAAATTGAATAAAATTTCATTAATATTTGACTTACTAAGAAAATAAGCTCAAAATGAAGTTGTTCTTGCACTCATAGTGAATTGGAATAAGTTAATTATCACTTGCTACACTCTTAGTGCAATTTAAAGAAGGTTACTATAAGGGAGAGAAGAACCAAGTTAGATCAACTTAATGATCTCACCCAAACTACATATATATTAGTGCTTGAGTTCTCTTTGCAACTTATGTTTGTCAGTGGTCTTTTGGGTTCACTAATCTTCCCTCATTTTCATGGAGGTTCCCCTTTTTTCTAAGGTACTTGATTTTAGTACTTGTTAAAGAGCTTGTGGCTAACCTCAAGCACAAGCCCTTTCCTCGTCTTTATCTTTTTATAAAGCTCTTTGTGGTGTTCTGATAATTTTTATTGCGGATTCTTTGGGTCTAGGTGATGCAGGAATATTTTAGTTTTAGTACCCCCTTGGACTACTAGATCAAGTTTATTACATATTTCAAGAACCTTCTAGAGATTTCTTTTGTATTTATATATCTACAAGTTGTAGGAGAAAGAAAAGTATGAATGAATATTTTTTTGGAATTTAACGGTTTTTATTGTTCTTTATGTTTTTGCTCTTAGGGGCAGCTAATTGTGATGATTCTTCATTGATCCACCTAATCAGTTGGTATCAGAACTTTGGAGCTTCTGCTACATCAACCCTTGTCGTCGATTGGGGTTTTTGATGCGTTGGAGGGACATGGATGAAGATCGGCTGTCAATGATGTTTAAAGCTTCCACCAACCGGTAACGGCAAAGGCAAAACAATTCTCCCTCAATGGAAATCAAATCATCGAACATCTCCACGCACAATCCACATGTCTACGACCAAAGTCCGTCCGTGACCTTGGTTTTGTTCCTCATAATCAACCCGCATTGTCGACCTGCGATGCCCATGCTTGTCCAGTCAACGTGAATGGTTACACCCTCCATTCATTCCGCTCGCGATAGCAGGCATCCATCCATTCCCGTGTCGACCTACACTTTCGTAATCCTTCTTAATACAGCTTGCTCCGATTCCGCTCAACCAACCATCTTATGTCTCGTATAAATCCGGCTATGCCTTCACTCCTGTGCATTACCAGCCATGCCTCATTCCTCCGTACGACGAAAACTCATAGCTCGAACCACCTACAGTTTCCCCTGCTCCAACATGCGACCTTTCTCCTTCACTTTCACACGCGGCCTGAGCCCGTAGTTCAAACCTGCGTGCTCAGTCCCACATCCCCCATGTCCTATCTCCACGTCGATATCTCCCGCGACTCCACCCTGTGCTCAAGTTTCTTCAAACTATATGAAAATGGTGTAGAACATTTTAGTTATTGTATTCCCTATGACTATTAGATCTAATTTGTTACATGTTTCTAGAACCTTTTAGAGATTTCTTTTGTATTCATATATACAAGTTGTAGGAAAAGAAAAATATGAATGAATATTTTTTAATCTTAATAGGCTTTATTGTTCATGATGTTCTTGCACTTAGGAGCAATTACTTGTGATGATTCACCCTAAATCTCCCCACATCACTAGGCCAACAAAAATCTAATTTAATTCCTCCTCCTTTTGATCTCATACCAAATGTTGTGTTTGATTGTACTAATGTTGTGGGGAAGATTTTGGCGAGCTGGATTGTGTTCGTGTTATGTCTTGAATACAACGCACATTTGTTATTTTGAGAGCTTTTTGTTGAACTTTTCTTTGTCTCTATAACTAATCAAAAATTGATCACCTTCCAATGTTAAAATGCATTGTTGTTTTTAGACGAAAAAATTAGTGTTTTAATTACTCTTTTTATCACTTTTTGGTGTGGTATTTTAAATTTAATCGGCTTATTCTGATGGGGATTAATTGATTTATTTTGATAAAATTGGGTTTAATGGGCCTTTCTTAGGATTCGTTTGGGACGGCCTTTTATTGCTTCTTAAAACGGAATTTTAGTATAAAATTTTGGGGTTTTAGTACAAATTTAAAATTTTGTACTAAAACTCCGTTTTAGAAAGCAATAAAAAAGCCGTCACAAACGAAGCATGAGAAATATTTCTTATATTCATATAACTCAATATATTTATAATATTGTTAATATATTAATGTTAGCTAACTATTTTCTAAACTATAGCACTTTTCCATAATTAATATAATGCATGAATTATACTTAAAATGTTTAGATTTTTTTTAAGGAAAAAAAAATAAATTATAAATTTAGGCATCTTATGGGGTGATAGTTAGGGCAATGGTGGCACCGATTCTGACGAACGGTTTGTAATCAGATAATGCAGTGATGTAGCAGGTTCAGGGTCATATCTAAGGAAGGACGAAGTTGGGATAGGATCAATTGGAAAGATAGAGTGTGGGATAGGGTTGCATTCATGTTCATTGATGATGGCAGGAGGTCGTAGTTTTGAACGGTGCAGACCAACTATCAAGATGGTTTTCGGACAAAATTGTATTTTTAATTTGCTGCAATTTTGACCAACCTTGAAGTCAGTCAAAAAAATCATTTTTTAGCATTTCAAATTTCTCGTAAAAATATTTTAATTTTTTTTTTACTCCATGCGAAATAGCTCAAAATTCCTAATACACTAAATTAAATCAGCAACCACTTAGTAAAATTTATTGATCCCCTAAATAACAAAATAAAAAAAGGAAAAATTCCATAATTCTAATTAGTATCATATTTCCCCTCTTCACTCCATATCAGAAGAAAATTAAAATGGTAAAAAATAAAAATAAAAAAAATAATTAAACCCTCACATCACATGGCATCCCATTGTATTCTCATCATTGAAATAATCCACCATACCAGCACCACCCGGTGAAGTCACCGGAACCAGTTGCACCGCAGGCACATCATAGTAGCCCTGCTGCCGCGCGCAGCACTGACCTGCCACGATCGAATAACACGGCATCGGAACACCAAAAGCCTCCGGCAAATGAATTCTCGCAGGCACTGTACCATGATTCACTGAGCAACTCACTTCAGGCACCGCAATCCTCACCTCCTCCTTCTCCTTCTCCTTCTTCTTCTTCTTCTTCTCAGTGTTCTCTATCTGCTCTTTAGAAACCTCCTTAGCACTATCAATACTAACCTTCTTTAGTTCTTTCTCGGCAGGCTGTGTAACAGAATCCATTTGCAGCAATTCTGAAGCCTTTCCACACTTTGCAAGCTTTTTCATCAGTGCTGCAGCTTCTACTGTTCCAGTAATGGTTACTTTGGGAAGAGAAGGATGGATCTCCGTCTTCAAAACGCCTAAGTATCAAACAGTGGTTAATGAAACCAATTCATCTCATACATTTCTGGTAATTAGAACAAATCCATGAAGAAAATTAGGGTTTGCTATATATCAGCTCTAATATAACTAAGGGTCTGTTTGGGATGACTGTAACTTTTTATAAAGGTGATTATGAAGCTATTGTGGGCAAGACAAATTTTTTCGAAAGTTGCTATAATTATTAAAAATATATTAAGCTACCTCATATCAGCAACTCGGGTTTTAAAAGGGAGTTTCTTGCCATAAAAATTTTCTTGAAAAGAGCAAGAAAATAGTAGCCAAATGAAGATATAGTTACGGTATCAAAAAAGTAAAGCAATGAAAAGGCTGCCTTAAAGATGAGAGATTATAACGTGAGGAGTCTGGACCGTCCGTATTTGTGAGTATACACAACAAATATATATAATAAATACATAGTTATATAAGAAACTGTGTATTTACTATGTGTTTGTTGTGTACCTTCACAAAACTGAACGTATTGAGGGATAATATGTGATGTGTAAAATTTAGAGCAGGTGTAATGATGATAATGTTGGGATTGAATTAGGAAGTTTGTAAGAAATATTTACCTTCTATGCTTAGGGCTTTAAGGACTTTCTTCTTGCAGCCGTCGCAGCAGTTTACATGCACTTTCAGCTCAATTTTCTGTAGGGTAATTGCAATAAGAATAAAATTTATTCATCATAAAAGCTAACTGTAGTTACAGATCTAAGCTTTTTACCTTGAGGAGGCCTTCTTCCTTTGACATGAGTGAGCTTATAATTAGGGTTAGGGAGGAGGAGGAAGGAAGAAGAGAACAGGCCAGGAGTTGATGGGTAAGGAGGGAGGGTTCTCTGGGCTTTATATATGGAAAGAGATGAGCTTTACTGTGGTTGTCGTTATGTTATTCAAATTTCTTGGTTAACTTACAGTGATTCTTACTGTTGTAAGTGCTTTTTGTTTAGAGAAAAGTGAAAGTGGAAGCTCAGTTTGATTAAAATAACAATGGAATTTATATACAAAACATGTAGAGGTGAAAGAAAAAAAGGCTGTCACAATCAAATGAAAAGCTCACAAAAAATAGAAGGAATATACTCCCAATAGGGAAAAAATGAGTTTTATTAAGTCTATTAACAAGCAATATTGTTGAGATCAATGAGCAGATTATTGACTTAAAAAAAGAGATTTTAATTGAATGAACTACTAATTAAACTATTAACTATTTAAATAAGATAAACAAATTACTTTTGTTCATGCAAAAAAAATAATATAAAAAGATCAAAACTCTCTCACTTGATCACATATTAAACAAACTTATAATTGAGCCCTACATGAGCATATTATTGAGCATTAATCAAGCTTTTTGATGAGTTTGTTCATGAGATTTAAATGATGTGATATGATGATAAAAAAATTAAACATCAAATTGCTTAAGCATGTTTATTTATCAATCGAGTATTAATAGAAGTATTCAAACTTGTTCAATTAGTCAATTAGTTAATCAAATAATCATGAACAAATTCTTATTAAATCGGGTCACAGTAACCCCTCTGATCCAACGTATTGATTCATTTGCAATCCTAAAGTTATCAAAGAGAGTAATAGAGATAAAATTTAAGCCAGTATCACATTACAGTCTCTAGCTCACTATTGTGTTGATCTCTGCATGTATTCGCATTAATCTTATATTCCTTTTTAGTGGTTTATCATTAAAGAAATAATTTAACCATATAGGCTAAGGATTTTGATGATTCATGGGAAGGTGGTCAAATTACAAGGCCTAAATAATAAAGATTTTCTCCAAGAATGGTGCTTAGATGAATGTGTTAGAAAGATTTGATTTTGGTAAGTAAATAGGAAATTGTATCAGTAGTGTTGGAAGACAACAATAATGGGCACCAGTGTTAGAGAATGAGCGACATAGAAATCAAGGGCCGGCCAACATCAATTTATGACAAGCAATGGCACAGTAACTTTAATTATTTTCATTGGTCATTGATGACGATAGATAATAGTGATTACCATTGACTATGACATACATTAAGATTGGTCATTAATGGTAGTGAAAATTGTCATCAAAAGTTAGATGGTAAGAAATGGTATATATAATTATTTTTCTAGTTGGAGGATAGGCAAGGAGGCCATGATAGGTAAATAAGAAGATTGGACATATGAATTTTCACATATAGTCTGTTAGGGCATCCAATAATAGTTTAAAGTCTCAGAATTCTGCCTCCAAGTCCTTAAATTCTATCCATTCATGTTGCTAGAACATTTCCAACTCTTGAGACAAATAGACCAAATTTAAAGATATCATAAGCAAAAAATCATACATAATCAAGCATTTAATAAATAAAGAAGCTTGTTGTTGTGATATATACAAGTTTATTATCATAGTACTTTTCTTTCTTTTTATCATATAAACTAGTGGTAAAAATATAATTATTGTATGTACATCATCACCACCTATTCATATCATTTCTATTAAATTCATGCTTATTGAAATGACAAGCCCATGTTATTAGCATTTATTAACTCTTTTATCACATTTGGATATTATAATTAAGTTGATAAGGGTTACATTTGAGGCTCCCTCATGTATAACCCTAAAATCAAGACTTAAGGAGTGAGAAATCATCATCAAGAGAAGAGAAGAATGAGAAAAAATCCCCACATGATATAGGAGCAAAAAATGCAATTCAGACATCTACCTCTAATTATAGATTGATTGATGGAAAATTATATATGTTTTATTAAATTATAACTTTCATGGATTTTAATGTTATTTATTATTCTTGTGGCTTTTAAAATTCTTTGAGATATAAATTAATCTTATAAATAACCTTGGAGTTCTATGCAGAAGATATTATATGTGATGATATAATTGAGATTACTCTCTTTTCTTTCAAATTTAGTTTATTAACAAGCTTTTTTTTCTTTTTTTGTTTTCTTTCTTCTTCGTGAAGTTGAGAGAGATACGCATCCTTTGATGAGGGTGTGATGGTTATTTGGGTACTTTACAATTATCACTCTTTTTTTTTTGTGTTCTTAATCTACAACTCTTCAAATTTGAAGCATCACTTCATCATAAGTCTTCTTTAAGGGTGCAATATCATAGCTATTTATATATATTTGGAAAGGGATTTTGTTCTTTTTTGACAAAAATTAAGGCACTCCACTTCATCATATGGTTTTCTTACTTTGGGACTCTTAGTACCTTAGCCAACTCAAAATTGAGCAAGCTTGAATACATTGGATTCATATCATCAAGATTGAAGGATGTTTGGAAAAGTAAAAAAAATGCCAACAAAATTTGACACTCTAACACTTTTTTTTTATTATTTTTCAATTTCTTGCATCAATTTCTTTTGTTTGAAAAGTAAAAAAATGCCAACAAAATTTTAAAATATCTTCTTACCAACATTATCTCAAGTCATAAGAATAAAACCCCTTGAGTTCTTTGGGATATCATAGTTTCCTTCTTAGGCTTTTTTTTTTTTTTAATACCTTTAAAGTGATATTACAACATGAACCATGATCACAATTTTTGCTTAGAGAGTCTCATACCTTGCCCAAAAAAATGATCAATATATCTTGATTGCTCAAATTTAAGCTAGTAAAATAATATTATTGCCATATTTTAAAACTCTAATTTACTCTTTAAAAAAAAAGTTAACACCCGTGCAACAAGAGTGCAATCGAGATTGATCTATTTATCAAGATGCTCATTTTTCAATAACAAAAAGAAAAAATATGGAAGTCGTCTAATCCTCCGAACAATCTTCAAGAGTTTCCAGTTATACTCATAGCTGCCTGATTTAAGACTTATTTGAATTCAAATCAAGATGCGTCCAATATCGTTAACTCCTTTTCATCGAACCACAATAACTCAGACTATAAATTCACTAAAAATAAAACTCGAAGATTCTTACAGTCAACAATTTCTTTAATATTCAATCCAATTTTCACTAACCAAAAAGTCATATTTCATCATTAATATGTACAAGCTCATTAATTCTAAGATTAATGAAAAGAGGCCAGACATTCCTCCTATAGCTTAGTGTGCTATAGAAAGATAAAGATACAATAAAAATAGAACTTTTAGCTTTCTAGATTCTGCGTCTTATTAACGAGAGGCCTAAGAGAGTTTGGAACCAGGAGCCATTAGTATACTAACCTCCTCGAATATGCAGATAAGATTGAAGCGCTCAGCTCAGTGAGTTGACTCATTCAGTCCGCAAGAACCAGAATTATTCTCAACTGGATGGTTAACAATCAAGCCATTAATACATTCTGTGGTTTACTTTTCATTAGGTTATAAGAAGCTTTAGTTTTAGGTCAAAAAGTAGGAAATTCTTTGTTAAATATGCATTAAAGCATTATAGGATCTGTTTGGGATGGCTGCAGTATTTCGACTTTGTTTATGTCAGCCTTCTTACTATGCTTTTCAATTGCAACCACGGTTTTTATTTGGCTACTATTGTTTCACTGCTTTTAAGAATTTTTTCTGCTGGAAAGTTGCTTTCTACAACAGCTTTCAAGAAAGCCACTATCTCCCCAATAATTTTACTATGACCGTTATAAAAAGCTACAATAGTTCCAAACAGACATTTATAAAGTTGATTGTAAAGTTACTACACGTTGATTAAAAAAAAACAGATTTTCACCATAATTTTTTTTTAAAAGATATTGAGATAGCAGTAAGAGATAAGTGGTCAAATGAAATTATGATTTTTGTCTGAAAAATAAAACAGCGAGAAAGGTAATCTGAGCAAAACTGTAGAAAGAAATAATAGGCTTTTGTGGTTGTTTTAAAGAGTTTTGAATAGCGAAAAATATTGCTATTATTATCATATATGACGTGTTTTTGGGTGTTCTAGCAATGATTAAAGAGCGAGTTGAATGGAACGGTTTTAACCGCTGCAACTTTGTAGGTACAAATTTATCGTTATTAAAATTATGGCGAGCCTTTAAATTTCAAAAATATAATTGGTGTATATTATAGAAGCTATATTCCATAGAACAATCATTTATGCACATATGTTATAACATCTAATTTCATATAATAATTGAAATGTTTCATTTGTGAGCCCATATATAAATATTAATTATATATATTGTGTTATCTTATTTAAGCCTAGTAAAATTATAATCAAATTAAAAATTAATTATTATTTGACTGTTGAAGCTTCTATTTAATTCTGTAAGAAATTTACAATGCATATTTTATTAAAAATTAACAATATGTAATCTCCTAAATTAATGAATAAAAAATATTAATATTGATACGTCATCAAAAAATTATCTTGATCAAGCATGAATCTCGATGCAAAATCAAGTTGGAAACTTCCGAAATTAAAATTGGCACCATCCGAATTCTGATTTCAACACTCTTATAGTCAAACTGAACGTCTCGAGAATACGAACCCAACAACACCAAAATCAACCCAATCTGAGCCCAAATAGGTCCAAATCAAGGGTTAGAAGCGCTGTTAGAAGGTTTGAACCACAATTTGGATTACCAAATGGTTTCCAAACATAACGTGCTTATAGTCGAATCGAGCGGCTCAACGAGACAAATCCAACAAGCCCAAGATCACCGAATTCCGACATCACTAAGACATTCAAATGTCCATCAAACAGTCCATGATCAAGGGATTCAACATCGGCCGTCTATCCAACCACTCCTCATTTGCCCTTGATCTTCCACCTATTTATAGGTCATGCCACTCCAAAAATCTATAAATAGAGCCCCCTTTTCTATTGAAAAGGGACCCAAGCCAAAGGATTCAAAAGAGAGATCGGAGATCGCTTTTGCCTCCTTGCTCCTCCTCGACCATCGCCTGAGTTCCGTCAGACCACTGCTTGACGTCGTTGCTCTGCCAAACCATCACTTGAGGCCCTCACCTCCGTCGGACCACCACTTGAGGCCCTCACCTCCGCCGGACCACCACTTGAGGCACTGAGCTCCATCGGACCACCACTTGAGGATCTCACCTCCGTCGAACCACCACTTGAGGCCCTGAGCTCCGTCGAACCACCACTTGAGGCCCTCACCTCCGCCGGACCACCACTTGAGGCACTGAGCTCCATCGGACCACCACTTGAGGCTCTCACCTCCGTCGGACCACCACTTGAGGCCCTGAGCTCAGTTGAACTACTACTTGAGGCCCTCACCTTCGTCGGACCACCACTTGAGGCCCTCACCTCCATCAGACCTCCACTTGAGGCCCTGAGCTCCGTCGGACCACCACCTAAGGCCCAGACTTTTGCCTGACCACCATTTGATGCCCTCACCTTCGCCGAACCACCACTTGAGGCCCTGAGCTCCGCTAGACCACCACCTGAGGCTCAGACTTCTGCCTAACCACCACCTAAGACCCAGAGTTCCGCCAGAAAATCACCTAAGGCCCGAAGTTCTACCAGACCACCACGTGAGGCCCAAAGTTCTACTGGACCACCACTTGACACGCGGAGTAGACCCACAATTCTGTCAGACCATCACTTAACGCCCGGAGTTTCACCGGACCACCATCTAACGCTGGACTTCCACCGGACCACCGCCTGACGCTGAAGTTATGTCAAACTAACATCAGGCTACCAATTGACAGCTAAATTTTCAAGTATCATAGTGCTTCTACCAGTCCACCAAGTGACATTGTAATTTCATCCTCTAGATTTCAACCAAATGGTTGCCATTTGTAATTTAATCATCCTCAGCTACGAGTCAGCCCATTGTAATCTACCCAAACATTAGTGAAATCATTTCAGACTAGGCTAGGCCACGTGATTTTTCCCTTTCCAGAGTTTTCCACATAAAAACATCTTGTATTTTCTGTATGTGAGTTGGATATTCGTACAATGCTAAGAAGAAAAATTTTAACTCAATCGTTGCGTATATTCTAGCCCGCAATAAATATTATATTTATCTACAATTTATCATTAAATTAGATATTCAAAACAATAAAATAAATTAATTGAAAATTGAAAATTTTCAAAGCAATGGCTCAATTAGCTATTTTCATAATCCAAGACTAATAAATTTTTTTACTAAAATTTTAATTTAGTTTTACAAAACAAAGTTCTTTCTCTCCCTTTCATTAAATCAACTTTGTGAATAGTATATGTGGGAGAAAAAATAGATATTCATATGCTTTTTAATTAATAATTCAATGTATCACTAAAAAAATTATAAATTAGAATTATGCAATGATCAAGAAGAAAGATTAAAGTTGAAAATTATGTTAGAAAATAAAAAATTATTTGATAATCTCTTGAATCTTAGACTTCGTTTGGGGAAGCTTTTTTATCTTTTTATGAAGCATCTTTTTAGTACAAAATTTATTTAGACTAAAATTTTTTGTAGAAGAAAGCTTTTCTTTCTTGAGCAATCACTAGTGCCGACTTCATATGCCATACTTGAGCCAACTGATAGGCCCCCCTAATTTGGAGAGAATTATTCTGTGAGGGATCCGGATATGAAGAATAGTCCGGACTGTGAGTGTACACACTATATACAAACAGTGTGTACAAACAATTGATACATATTCATCGACAGTATATACACTGAAATATTCGGACAGTTCTTCCTGTCCGGACTCCGCACGGAATAATAATAGGTGGAAGATTTCTGATGGGAAGTTTGTATATTCTCTTAACCTGTAACTCCAACACTGTCAACTTGCACTTGGCAGGTGCCCGACCTGTTTCACAAGTTGCATGATTTTTCTCTGTGGAGTTTCATTCGTATGTAAAACATGAACTTTGTGCTACTTATTTAAGAATTCATGTTGCTTATATAATGTTAGGGGGAAAATGGCTAACATAGTCCTCAACAATATTAAATGATCATTTTGATCTCTCAAGTCTTTAAAAATGAATCAAAATAGTCACATAATGAGATTATTTTGGTTTATCTTTAAAGAGTTGGAGATTATTTTGATCATTCATAAAAAGTCAATGGACAATTATGATTCTTTTCTCTAATGTTAGAATTTAGTTGAAGTCATTTTGAGATAAATATGCCTCTCCTTTGTAAATGAGTTGAATTGAGCTCGTGTCACTCTTTGCCTGAGCTTGAGCTTAATTAATGAAACACTCAAGCTCGAGCTAATTAACGAATTCAAGTCAACTCACGAGTAGGTTCATTCATCAAAAAAGACAAAAAAATCATTCTTATTCAAGCTGTTATTACAATAACATTATAAAAATGATAAGAAACTAAATGAGAAATTATAATAAATCATTTGAAATAAGCAAAAGATATATAATTTTTAAATATTTTTAGCAACTTTATACTAAACTTATTTTATTTATATATTTAAGTGCATTTAATATGAACAAGTCAAACCCAAAATCAATTTAACTCAGGTACATCCATATCAGCCATGTTACCATATGGGGGCAAATTATTGCATCCGGTCACCGGATGCGGAAATATGTCCGGATATTAATAAAATATTATTTAAAATTAAGTGCGTCAAAAGCGCAGGCAAAGCGCAGTCAAAAGCGCAGGTAACGTGGCATGTTTTTATTGGATGTCTGAACCTATTCTACGCGTCTGGTGACTGTATGCAATAATTTGCCTACCATATGGGCACATCATATCAAAGGGCTCATACCTAAGATAATTGTCAAGAACAAAACATAAAATGGAAAAATTATACATCAAAATTACAAAAATTAAATTAAACTTAAAACCATTATTCAGAGAATTTTTAACATCAGTAAAATAGGCAGTTTAATTGTTTTTCTTCAAGTGGCAAAACGATGCTACTACTGGTAGCTCCATGGTTGCTTTGAGAACCAACAACATACTTCAATAAAAATATTAAGTATTTAATCCACATATCACAAAATTCTTATATATTCACATATCTAACGTCTAAATTACTGTATGTGCCATTAAAGAATAAATAATCATCTTCATTTTCATTTCAAATGTTTCGTCAAACTAAATTATTTGTAGAATGTTTGCTAATGCCACAAAGAACATTATATATAATTAACTTCATTTTGAGGATGTGACATACCTGAAGATAAGAACTCATGGATAACTCCATTTAACTCAATGAAAGACAATCCAGGTTGCTTCTGAATGCTCTGAGAATACATATATCTCCTAGTCCTGCTCACGTCTGTCCATCTAGATGCCATGGCATAAACATTAGAAAGCATAACAGGACCTCCACACATTTCTGGCTCCAACTCCATGATTCTTTGAGCTGCAAGCTCTGCCATTCTAACATCTTCATTAATCCTGCTCGCAAAAAGCAATGATCTCCAAATGACCACATCAGGTTTGATGGGCATATCTTTAACAAACTTTTCTGCTTCTAACAACAGCTTTGCACGACCCAAGAGATCAACCATACAACCATAGTGCTCTAGTCTAGGCAAAAGCTTGTAAACTGTCCTCATTCGATCGAAGTAATAGTATCCTGCTTCAATCAATCCGCCATGACTACAAGCAGATAACACACCAAGGAAAGTAACCTCATTTGGAAGAACTAGACTTGATGCTTCCATCTGTGAAAAGAGTTTCAATGCCTCAAATGAATTTCCATTCATGGCAAGGCCTGATATGATTGTAGTCCAAGAGAACACATCTGGTTTTTCTAACTCATGAAATATGCAAAAAGCTCTATCAATTTCACCACACTTTGCATACATATCAATCAATGCATTCTTTGCAGATAGGCCCAATTTTATGCCAATAATATCACAATAAGCATGGATGTACCTTCCTTGGTCCAATGCACCCAACTGTGCACATGAGGATAGAACAGATGAAATTGTATTTTCATCGGGTTTCAATTTCGCAGCTTGCATCTTCCTAAACAGCATAATTGATTTCACAAACAGGTTTGATTGTGCATAACTCGAAATCATTGCAGTCCAACAAATGGTATTCTTTTCAGGCATCGCATCGAACAACTTGTGTGCTTGATTCAAATCTCCACATTTTGAATACATGCTTATCAGAGATGAACACAGGTAGCAATCCATATCAAGACCTCTGGTTACAACTAATGAATGAATCATCCTCCCAAGATTTAAAGATCCTATTTTTGCGCAAGCTGTTAGTGCGCCAACCAGGCTATTTGCATCCATAGCTCTGGAATGCTCTACCATCTGCCTAAAAACGATTAAGGATTCTTCATAGAGATGGTTATGAGAGAAACCAGATACCATACTATTCCACGAAACTACATCGCGGGAGGAGTCTGGGGCAAGATCAAAGACCTCCCTTGCCATGCCGACCAAGCCGCTGGCGGAGTACATGTGGATAAGAGAGTTTAGCACGAAGGTATCTGATTCTAGGCCTAGTTTAATGAGAAGGGAATGCAGCTCAGCCCCTGTGTTGGGCTTTGATAAGCGAGAGGCAGCCTTGAGAGCAGAGGTGAAGGTGTAGCCATCGAGGGCGAGACCTTGAGAGTGGATGAGTTCGAAGAAAGTGAGGGCGAGAGAGGGAGTGGGGCCGCCGGAGAGAGAGTGGAGGATGGAGTTCAGGAGATGGAGGTGGGGGTTCTCGAAGTGGAGACCGGAAGCGGTGACGCGGCAGAGGAGTTGGCGGAGGTGATTTGAGCTGGAAATGCGACGGGAGAGGAGTAGAAGAAGCTGTTGTGAGCTAGGGTTAGGTTTTGGAATGGAAGAGATGGATCGGAGGGGAAGAAGAAGATACAGTGTGCTGTTGCTTTGGGATTTAGGAGGTGAGAGACGAAGCGATCGGAGGCGGCTGACAGAGCAGAGAGAATAACTCATTCATTTGGGCGAAAGCTGGTTGTGATTTGTGAAGCTTGTGATGATTCAAAACTCAAAGCCTTTGTTTCTTTTTTTTTTTTTAAGATAAAAATATATATTTATTTTTTCATTTTTATTAGAAAATTTAAAAGAAATTTTATTTTGTTTTTTAAAAGTAGATAAAAATAACTTTGAGATAATTTTTAAAAAAATTTAATTGAATTTTTTTTTACTCGCTTATATGACTGATTTGACTCACAATTTTCCTCTCATCCCTCATCAAACTCATCAAACACTAATACATCCCCCTTCCTCTATAACACCTAAAACTATTGAAAATACATATCTAACACCTAAACATTAATATTTACTTATCTACCACTCCATTACTCATGTCGTCGCATCCCGTCACTCTCAACAACCACCTTCATTGTAGTTCCCTCCGGCGGCAGCATCCAGCTCAGCAGCAGTAGCGAGCACGTATCCCATCGCAAAGCAAAACTTGCCGCTGCCACCAACGACGGGCATCTCCCTCACATTGGAGAGGACGGTGTTCCGGCCAAGCACGGCGAGCGAGCTGTCGTTGAAGTCGCCGGAGACGAAGGCGAGATTCATGGCCATGAGGAGACCGGCCTCCTCTTGCGAGGCGAGAGCGTAGATTCCCTGCGCGTGGCCGAGGAGCTTGGAGTTCCGATCGGGGCCTTCGGTGAGGGGGTCGTCGATCATGACATATGATGCGTGGAGATGTTCTGATGATAAACGGAATATGAAATATGATGGGTTGTACACTTCCAAAGTAGGAACCAAGCTCTCCTTTAACAACTCCAACATCTCCTTCAACCAGTATGGTGAGAACTGGCGGCAGGTTCGCAAGCTCTGTGACGTCGAGCTGTTAAGCCCTAGGCGTGTGCGATCGTTTCAATCCGTCCGGGAGCAGGAGGTGGAGATGCTGTGCGCCGCTATTACTGATCTATCTTCTTCCAATTCCTCCTCAATCAACTTGAGCGAGATGATTTTTGCTCTTGCTTACAACGTCCTGTGCCGAGTAGTGTTCGGAGATAAGCTTGGAGGAGGCGCCAGAGTATACCAAGGAAGGAGGAGTTGGTTTCATGGAACCATGCCGGAGACACATGTTGGATTGTACACTTCCTTCACGCGAACGAAGGGAAGAAGACGGGCGGATCAACGGAGTGGTAGAACTGAAGGAGAGGAAGAATTTAGGTGGTAGATAAGTAAATATTAATGTTTAGGTGTTAGATATGTATTTTAAACAGTTTTAAGTGTTATGTATGTAAAAATCCCAAAATTATTTTGTGCGATCACTGGACGTTATACGGAGGCGAATCAGGATGCGAAACCTCATTTTTTTGTTGTGGACCGGTGTTGTGTACCGCTATGTATCGGATGAGGTGGTGCATTCTGATTTACATCCAAACGATCTGATGACCACACAGAATAATTTCTGGTGGGCTCCACTCCACCTTGAAGTAAGTTAACCCCCCTCTCTTCGTCATTGTACCACCAAACTCATTTGTCCCTCATCTTCCTCCATTTCTTTAGTGGCAGTGCCATGCGGAAATAATCATCTTAATTTTACTCCCTCCTCTACAACAACTATAATTTCTTTATCCCCTTCCACCTCTTCTTCGATGGATCCTACGTCGCACAATTGGATCACAATTGGATCAATTTTGATAGTAATAATGGCATAGAGCAAATAAATGCATCAAGAACAATGGATGATTACATGATTTCTATAAATAGATCTCCTAACTTCTTTTCTCCAAAGTGTCTTCAACTAAGGTTTGTGATTTGGTATTTGAAGAAATGATATTGCCTTAAAACCATGATTTCTTTTCATGTATTCTACTTATCTAAATTATTGGAGGATTGCATTATGGAAGTGACTATGTTCTCATTTTGATGGAAAATATCAATTGGACCATATTTACAAATACAAGGCATCTAGTTATTGCCATACATATCATTATTATTTATAAAATATATCATCCCTTTAACAAACCCTTTTTATCTCCGACAGTTACTAACAATCGCCGACAAATTCCTCGTCCGTCATCTCTTATAAAAGTTCCACTTCTCTGATTGATTAGTTGTTTGTCCCCCTTCTCCCTCTCTATACCTTCTTCTCCACCATGCCCTTTCACCAAGCAAATTTCACACCAAATCCTCGCACACCGCTCTTCATATTGCTCTAAGTCGTTGATCCAATGAATCCCACCTCATTAAGATCCCATTACAGCTTCCTCTTTTTTTTTTTAATTTTCACTTGGGCTTCGCTTTGGACGGCTTTCCTATTGCTTTGTAAAGCTATTTTTTAGTACAAAATTTTTTTGAAAAGTAAGAAAAAGCAATGGTCTAAAACTGTCGCAAACGAAGCCTTAGCATCAATCCCATCAACACCTATCCCAACGAAATTTCATCGTAACTTATTCGTCACTTAGATCATCTAGTGAGATTGTGTTGCAACCCATCACAATTTCGGTTTCGTTTGGGATGATTTTTTTTATTTCTTATAACAAAATTTTAGTACAAAATTAATTTTTTTTTACAAAAATTTTGTTTCAAAAAGTGATAAAAAAATTGTCCCAAATGATTACCGTCTAGAGTTAGTTAACATAGTGCCATATTTTATAAATAATAAAGCTTAGATGTTCAATGTAAATATATATATATATATACTTATTACGTCCGGTTTGCGGTTTCTTTTCTAAATGCGTCCGGTTCGAATTTTCAGATCGAACCCGAACCGTATAGCCAATTGACCGGTTCGAAAATGTGGATAGGTTTATTAGGTTTTCTAGCCATTTCCCTTTTTCCCTTCTTCCTCATCCCATCTTCTGCTTCCATGGTCACTGCCCAGCACCTCCTCTTCTTCCTCCCCGTCCTCCTTTCCTCCCTTTCCTTCGTCTCCTCATCTCCCTCGCCCACATCATCGGCACCAACACCAGCTCCATGGCCGAAGCAGTTCCACTCGGTTCTCTTCATGAACTACAGCGGAGCGCTTTCGCTGATTGACCTCTGGTACGATTGGCCGAATGGCCGCAATTTCAACATAATCCAGGACCAGCTCGGTGGGCCGCCGCTACACGACCTTGAATGGAACAATGGCACCTCCTTCTTTTACACTCTCCCCAACACACCCTCCCCTAAATGCCGCTCCGCTCAGCTTCCCGTCGGCATCCTTCGCCCTAATTGGCTCGACGGCGCCACCTACCTTGGTCAAGTCACCATCGACGGTTTCCTCTGCAACAGCTGGGAGAAGGTCGAATTCATTCGATATTACGAGGATGTTGCCACCCGCCGGCCCGTTCACTGGGTCTTTTACACCGGTGAGATTAAAATTGTCTCTTTAGTGTGGGTTTGGGTGAAATTTATTCGATTTTGATGCAGGTAGGGAAGCTCATGTGATGACCTTCGAGGTCGGAGCAGCGCTCAACGATGAAAAGTGGCAGGCGCCGGCTTACTGCTTTGAGAAGAGAAAGGAAGACGAAAAGCTCCAAGACATTGCAAGCACTGAAGCTTTAGGGGATATGACTCGGAGTAGGTTCCTATGACCATATGTTTTATCATCCATTGCCGTTGGTTTAAGCTGTCCCTGTAGCTTATAACTGAAGCGGTAAGTAAACAAACTGATTTTCTTCTCAATGTATTGAACACGAAGAAGTATTCGGTTCTGTTTCCAAGATTAGTTTTTTGATGATTAAGTGCACAACAATAATGGAAATAAAAGAGATAAAAGAATTGGAAATTCTCCTGCTGTTCTCTGAATGTTAAAAGCTGCAAATCTGCATAAAAGAAACGGAAACTGGGTTAGGTTGCTGGATTTTAAGAGTTTTAGATTATTCAATGAAGTTTGAGGAAAGAGGAGAGGATTAACCGTGGGAAATCTAGGCAGAAGGGCCTTGGTTGGCTTTCATCACTAATTCCTCTGTTGTTGGACCGATGATGTCATTGGCTCGCTTCAGGGGGGCACAGTAGATCCGACCTACTGAGTCCTGCATTAGAAGAAGTTGATGATGATTGTAAAATACTTAAGGGTTGGATTACGAAAAATAAATTAGCTTAAGATGTTCTAATCAAAATTTTTAATAAAGTGTGATATAAATTTTGATTGATTCTTATATAATACATTCATCTCAAATAAATTTAATAATTGTAAGACTCATTCATTCTAACTAAAATTTAGTCATGTTACATTCATCCCAACCCAAATATTTTTCTTGCTTCAATGGCTAAAAAAATGTTTTGAGTCAGTTATATAAAATAAATATACTAAATTTATTTTGCAGTGGACAAAATGACTATGGTTTTGTTTGGGGCAGCTTTCCTACTGCTTCTTAAAGCAGCTTTTTAGTACAAAAATTTTATGAAGACTATATTCACATTGCAGAAAATTTATGAAGACTTTGAACTTTGAACTGTGAAGTATTTTATCTGTTAATAATTTACCTCAAACTTTCAAAATATAAAATTGCTACTTGCAAGGGAAGAGGAAATATTTCAGTGATATATGGTTGGAAACTTATTTGATTTGGTTCACTAAAATTAGGAATCATAATTGTGAATTTTGTTAAATTTATCATTTAGTTTTAATGCCAGGCTAGGAGTAGTACTGCATTATATTCAAGTGATATGATATTAGAAAATATCTTTCAATTTCTGTCACCCCTCATACTAAAATCTTGAATCAGCGACTGTTGCAGCATGAACAAACGGTTAGTTCATGAAAAACTCAGAAGACTAAACATCAGCTCCTAGCCAAAGGCTATAACTGTAAAACTCAATAAAATAAAATAAAAATAGAAAACACAATTACGAATTTTCCTAACTAGATAGCGCATGATGTTAGGAAAGCTGGCAAGATTTAGAATAAAGTCCTTTATAGTTAACTACCCAAGTGCAAAGATTAAGGTTGATGAAAAAGCTTACCCTTCCAATAATACCGAGCTTCTCTAACTTCTCGACGGCATCTTGGACTTCAAAATTACATCTTTCGCCAAACTCTTCTAGAATAAGTTCTTCACACCTGATATCTAGATCCTACATGAATATTTAAATCAGGCATTAATACTTCAATACAACACAACAACAACAATAAGCATTTATCCCACTAAGTGGGGTTGGTTACATTAATCATTTTTTCCATTGTCCTGTTCACAGTCAAATTCTCATTTAAATCTAATAAAAAAGAGTCATTTCTAATATTTTCTAACCTAGTCTTTTTAGGTTTGCCTCTATCTTTTAACACAGTCCAAATCTAATATGTCTACTCTGCGTGGGTCATTGGAAGGCCGACTTTTTATAAATTGATGGTCATAAAAATGAAAATTAAAGGAGTTGGAGCTAATACTTCCACTGCCCATAAAAATGAAAATTAAAGGAGTTGGAGTTATACTTCCACTGTAGCTTTCCCTTGTTCCATGAGAATAAAGTAGGAAACTATAACCTCCTTAACCTGCACAAAGTAGTAAGATAACATTGAAACTGCACCATGTAAAATGAATGGTAAATGTTGTTCAGAATATTAATAATAAATAAATCTTGTGAGGAGAATTTTGATTTTGATCTCACTTCCTGCTGAATCACATCATCGCATAGATGTAAAATGGTCCCTCTTCCACTATCCAATTGCTTGTCATACATGGATTGTGTTATTAGGTTCTGGTAAGTCACCATATTTTGCTGAAAACTGCACAATTCTCCAAAAAATTATAATGAATCCCGGTGAACTAGTCAAGACATTATAATGAGATCTGCTAATAATATAATCACAGAAAGCAGAAATTAAAACCATGACCAAAACACTGAAATCAACAGAATATTGATCAAAATAAGTAACATTTCAACCCGTCTATTAAGGGAAATAAGATAAGAAGTTGAAGCTAACATATCCTCATAACAGCTAAATCATCTTGCCTGGCAGTATACATCCAGCGCACAAACTAGGCAAAGTTATATCAAGAGGCACAAAGAAGCAAAAATCTACACACCTAAATGCAGAAACAACCACATCCAACTACAATTTTCAATCACATCCAACTGATAAACTTCAGGTTGTTGGAAGGTTGGAAAGAGGGTGGGAGCACTACTCCAGGTGTTCAGGGGTGGATCTCTCAAAAAATATCTAATATTTGTGATTATTTTATTATAGATATTTTGGAAATTTGATTATATTTGTTGGCTCCATATAATTTTTCTTTATGAGGAGAGGTATCATCGGTTATTGTAAAAGATGAATTAATATTCTATTTTTCTTCATAATCAAATCATAGTGAAATCTATGCCAACAGTAGGAGCAAAACATAGCCAGGACAAATTATTCTGTGCGGATACGTACAGAACGCATCATGTCATTTTTTTGCTGCGTACGGGATGACGTGGCGCGTTCTAATTCGCCTTCGGACTGTCCGGTGTCCGAATAGAATAATTTCTCCATCAGTTGGGTGAACTTTGATAAAATTCTTGTCTACTTTTGTACTCAGATCATGTTTTCTGTTTCTGTTGTTTTCACCCTCTATAATTGAATAGGTTTCACTTATTGCCTAACGTGTACGTCAAATACTCTTCATAAAAAATGAATCTAGTTTTAACCATTTATGACAAACTGTTAGTCTTCCTGTCCTATGTTCAATCTAAGAAAAGCAGAATTATGCATTTATCAGAATGATAAAAGAGCAAAACATCAAAATTAATATCGACTCTAATTTATTAAAGATGGTGGTTGCTTTGATAAGAAAAGCTTTCAAGGCCTACAATTGATCAACAAAAAAGTTAAGAATTGAATATCTGATGCTTTTCTACTTATCATAGCATCGAGTTTAAGCTATCGACTCAATTTGAAGTAACCACCAACCCAATTTTGAAACTCATAGCAAACTCTACCGTTAACAGTTGAACGATCACTTACGAGAAGTATATCTTAGCACAATAACCAATCACACCAGATAGAATTGCTGCAACAACCCATATATCTGCTTTAGGCATTTCAAGTGAACTGATAAGCGTAACCTGAAAAAAAGAAAAAAAAAATAGTAACAAGTGAAAAGATGAAATAACAGGATTAGATTAAATTTACAAATTTTGAAAACTTACAAGCCCAATTACAACAGAAATTAGGAACTTGACCCAGTCCATTGGAGTTAAACTTGGGTTTTTCTTTTCAGGCTACAGAATCAATCAGTCCAATTAGTGAATTGTAAATTTCTGGCTGTTATGATGCTTATTTGAACTATAATAATTCTGAGTTCTGGCAGAAAAGAAATCATTTGACACATATTCAGCAGAAACACTTACCAAAACCAACTCCATGTCAGCCACTGGAATGCTCTTAAAATGCTTTACAAAAATCCCTCTATCCTTCTTAGCTTTATCACTAGCCCGTCTTTAGAATGTAATTTTATCAAAAATTATCAAAAACATATTGAATTTTCTGAAATTTTCTGAACAGAAAACTTACAGCTTCAAAATTGTTATTACTAAACAAATTATTAGATTTCTTGCTACAGCTAAAGAGAAAATGCATGGAATGTCTCTAAGAACAAGGTAATTTTAAATTAATTTTCTCAAAATAATGCACATATTTGTGTTACCTATAAACAACAATCATCCTATCAAAAGTTGGCTCTTGTATTGTAATCTTTCCAAGCAGATTCTTCAGACTGAAAAACATGAAAATAAGATAACTATAACGATGACTTCGAGCTATTTAATAAACTACCACAAAAGGAGAAGCAGTAGCAACTTTAATTCCAGTTTTTCAAGACGAATGCGTTCTACAAATAGATCTTCCTCCTTGTCAGCAGTAACTTCGTCTGTTTTCTTGGCATCCGGTATGGGCGTTATCGCGGGTTTTCGGGAGAAGAGCTTCTCAAGCCTAAATCAAATGTCATCAGAAGGTATGTTCAAATATCTTGTAGAAAAAAGTAAAAATGGTGATTCTAAATAGCTTACCTTGATATTTTTAGAAGCCAAGACCATGTGTGAGCTATGATCACGTCCAATTTCTCATTAAAAAAGTAATCTGTGGTCCGGTCTATTCCAATTCCGCGACGAAAGATCACATACTTGACATAAAGAAAAAAGTTAATCAGCAATGAAGAAATGAAGATTATTACTCATATTAACTTTCAAGAGTTTTAATTAAAAATTATGATGGAACATTGATTGAATTAGTAGTGGTGGAGTTTTGAAAGAGTTCCTAATCACCATAGGATTACAATAAGGATCATCATCAAATCTATATTTTCTTGTATAGGTTATGGATATCATGTCAAAAGATATTAAAAATGAGATACAAGAGTGCATATTATTCACAAATGACATTGCTCTAATTGATGAAATATCTTAACAAAAAGAAAGAAAACTTAGAATATTTGAGAAAATATTTAGAATATTAGGGGCTTAGGATTAACACAAAGATCAAGTATATTATATGCAACTTTAATGCATTTGAATTTGAGAATTATAAATCAATAATACCAAATGATCAAATAATACTTATGTCTGACATGTTAAAATATAATGAATGTGTTGTATAACAGAATGAGAATACATGAGGGTATAACTTATAAAATTCACATTAGGTGATTAAAACAGAGAAATACTCTTAGACTTTATTTGAGACAACTTTTTTATGACTTTTTAAAGCAGTTTTTTAGTAAAAAAAACTTTTAAACTATAAATTTTGTACTAAAAAGTTGTTTTATAAAGCAGTAAGAAAGCTATCTCATATGAAACCTTAATGTTAATGGTACTATGCAATAAAAAAATATTAAAAAAAAAACTTAAACTATAAATTTACAAAACTACAATCAAATCAATTATGTTAAACAGATCCAAGTTTTAGCTGATGTAACAAATGTTCAGTGTATTTGAAATGATAATGCTCGAATGTTTGTTTCCAGAACTAGTAAAGATATATTGATTATATAATAAAGATTATAAAAGCAACCGCTAAAGTAAACAAGTTAAAAATAGACTTATGATTTAGGCATATATAACTTACTGGTACATCATCCATGAGACGATTAAATAAAAATAATTTGAAAGAATTAGGATAGAAAAGATGTACAGAAAAAGGATTATGGATAAAAATTCTGCAAAATGATTTGGGCAAAATGAATTTTACGTCTAAAACAACACTCAAGGGGATTGAACGGAGGAGGCTTCATACATCTAATAATCCTAAATAATTAGGAGGATACTGATAATGATGAGATAGCTTTCTAAGAAATAATTAATAGATTTTTTATATAGTAGACACAATCTAGCAAGCTGTAGCAAAATAGAATAATCAACCATTAATAAGATCATAGTCAACGTGTATAATAAAATCAAACAAAAGTAATAAATTATAATCAACCTATAGTTTAAAAGCACACATCCTCAAATTTGTCCATAAAAACATATTTAGGCTTCATTTGGGACAGCTTTCTTACTACTTCTTAAAGCAGCTTTCTAGTTAAAAAATTACTAGAAAACTGCTTTAACAAGCAATAAAAAGCCGTCCCAAACGAAGCCTTAGACCCACCCAAGATAAGAAATAATGCAAGAGAGGATAAGAGAATGTGTTTTAAAAAAATACTATCAATCTGATGCTCGGGCAGAGCTACATGCTCTAATCATTGAAAAGGCTATTTTATTATAACTGGGATTTAAGTGGCTGGAAAATAAACACAAGTGTTTGTGGTTTAAAGTCACAACTTAAACCCAATGATGTTCTTCCTTAGCTACTGTGCATTCTTCTCCAGCTATTAAGGAGTTGTATGTAATCTTATCCCTCCCTACATAATGAGGCTGTCTCCGTGACCATTTGTGACCTGCAGTCACAATGGAGGACTCTTAGCCTCTCCTTAGTCCCCCTTCTATCTATTGCATAGCTAAATATAATTGAGCATGAGTAAATCTTTTATTTGACTTCTCAACCAACTCCAATGCATGACAGGCTGAAGCATATTGAATCCTCCTTCAAAATAGCCAAAGCCCATCTAGATAGTCCAAATTACACAATGAAATATATCATGGATGTTACAGAGGAGGATGCAATAGAAACTTAAACCTTTTCCAAACATTTAGTCTCATACAAGTTGGGGATTAGAAAAGATGGGACAGAGGCACCCTTTTGTGTAAATTGTGGCATAAACTTCTTGTTCAAAAGTTTGCCTCAATATAAGGCAAGTTGATCAATTTTCATCTTCAAATGAATAAATAATAATCATCATCATAGACTTATCCTGACAATTTGGAGCTGCTTTTATGAAAATTTTCTTCTCAATTCAATCTTATAGAGTGTTATATGAGGTGCTTACCACTTCTAGTTTATGCAAGTCTCCCACTTTCCAACCTATTCCTTCCATATTAATTGTATCTTCTGCTCTAGTTGGTTCATCGTATGTCCTCCTTTACATGCATAAATCACCTAAGCCTATTTTCTACAATTTTATCTTCAATATATGTTACTCACACAATACAGTCATATATCCCTCTATCAATTTAGTTTTACTAATCATCTATGCATTTATCTTGGTATTGTCATTTGTGCTACAAACAACTTGATGGCAATTACTTAATTATTCAACAATTGACAGTATAATGGAGTTTTCTAATCACAATTTTGAAAATTTTAACTTAAAAATCTCCATGATTTTCTCCCATACATTAGTAATAAAAAATCTTCATTTGGCCATTCAATTTTAACTTAAAACCTCCTTAGCTTAGACGATGCTTCTTGAATACAAAAAAATTAAATAATTTAAGATGGAAAATTCATGTACAGTACAAAAACAAATTAAATAAAGAAGTAACTAAGGTAGCTACAATTTAGTTAGAAATAAGTTGTGGAGAAAAAACGTACAACTTAATCAATTAAGGCTTATATAAATAAAACCAAATATTTAGTAATTGTAAATCCGCAAATAAATATATAAACCTTATCCGAAAATCCAGGAAGATTTTCAAGAGGATGGTCTCTAAAATATTTAGCAAGAAGAGTCTTGTCAAGCTGCAATCAACCAAGGAGAAGCAAAGTTATGAAGAGGTAATAATTCATACTGTCAAACTTGTTAAATAGAACCTCAACTCTGACCTTGGATTCGTCAACTTTTATTGGAAGGTTTAATAGATACTGCCCAGATTGTGCAACTTCAATCTCCTCATCAGTCACTATCGTAAAGTTGCTTTTTTCCATAACCTGTTAAGAAAACTGAAGCAATTATAACCATCAAACTTCCAAGAAAAACATAATCAGTAAATTGGATAAGAAAATGTAACTTGCATTTCATTCTCTCAATGTCTAATCTATATTTAAAGTTTTAAAACAGAGTTTGTTCCCTTGTCTTTATGTCTATGCAAAACTTCAATCTTCAAGAGTACTTTCAGTTAGTGCAATTCAATCAATTTTGAACATAGATCAAGAATGTGAAATATTTTGATGTTGGTCCTTCTCTATCTTTTTTTTAATCACCATGATTTTTTAAGCATTCTGTATTTTCAGGAAAGACCATGGTCTCTATTCAAGGAGAGATTATTCTATGCGGACACCGGACACAGCTTACAGTCCAGAGGCGAATCAGGTGCAACCACGTCATCCAGTATCCAATAGTACCGAGCTGAGCAGTACCGAGCCGCGGTACCGAGTAGGGGATGGCGTATCACATTTGCATTGGGCTTTGGACGGCGTTCGGCATCCACACGGAATAATTCATCCTATTCCAGACTTGTCAATCCACTTTGGTGTGCATGCTAATGCAGCACAGGCTAGATTTCATGAACTAAATCCAGTAGTGCAATGATACCAAAACAAAATTTTTGATCCAAAAAGATCACTACTCATGGAGCGAATAAACATGTCCATTGGTCAAATCAAATAATCGCAATGCTTTGTCCCTTAATATCAAATTAGGGGTACGATATCTGGTAAGTGTAGTTGTTATTTGAGGCGGGTTACCATCACCCTTAGACATTTGATGGGCAACTACAACCTACAAGTGAACGCACAGTGTAATACATAACAGATACTATTAAATACCCATGGATTCGGTTTAGATACATAGCATATAATATTAAATACCCATGGATTCTGTTGAAATATTCGATGGAATTTTGATGAAAATACCATCGGCTGTTGGAACAACCATTTTACCATCACAATTATGTCGGAATTTGTTACTAGTGTATGTTACATACGTGGAAAATTGTTCTGATAAGCATCCACCATCAACTTAACTTATTACACCTTCTGGTAACCGGAACTAGTTCTCAGCCCGACAAGAAGCCCTCATTTCTCTAATTTGCTTCCTCTCATCCCCCGCTCGTGTGTAGGGCAAGCCTTCTTCAGGCTTTCTCATTACATATAGCCGCCTCAACTCGCCAGCTATCCCTTTGACTAGCTATGTGACACAAGATAATCAAGTATGTTGCCACCAAGAGGTAGCAACTTGTTGCACCCCATCTATCCCGCTTAGAAAGGGCAACTTGTGGCTCCTACATCTGTTTCATCCTCGTTTCCAAGCGAAGTAGCCAATTCTATGGACCCTACAGTCATAGTTTATAAAAGATAACTATTTAATGAATTAGTTTAATGTAGTATTGAATCATTCGATAATAATTTAATTTTTTAATTTTTTTTAGAATATTTGTTAGTCGCATAATATGGATTATATTTAGATTGGAAATATGGCTTGTTTGTAGTATTAAAGATGTTAGAATTATGTATAAATCTTTTACCCACTTCCTTGGTTAGACTACATGCTTGTAAAGTTGTGATACATAATTCTTACACTTTATTGTAAAGTTGCCATGCAAAATTCTTGTAAGATGTAATGTAACTCTTTTTAAAAATCAATATTTTTTCCTATGATTTGATGGACAGGCAATCAAGGATGTGGATCTAAGTGTGTGTGTGTGGGGGGGTGGGGGGCGGTGGCGGCTACGTGGTTGGAAAGGGAGGAGAATTAAAGGAGGGGGTTGAAAAGGGAGGAGAATTAAAAGAGTGAATCACGTATCAAAGGAGGTGAGGGGAAAATTTGGGAGAAAATAGGGAGAGTTATATTAGGTCTTTTGGTGGTAGTCTTTTTTTCTTCATGCAGATTTTGGGAGAGAAGATAATCACTTCATTCACACATATTTCATGTTTGTTTCAAACCCACAAAATACTAGACTTAGCTTATATGCAGATTATGTAATTTAACATAATAAATTTGCTTTAATCATACTCATCTTTGACATGGTTAGGAAGGGTATTATGCTTTTTTTTTTATTTACTTTTAAGTCTCTTTTTAGTCCTATCTCTTATTAGGGGTACTTTAGGAATTAGGGTCTTTTGAGTTATTAGTTTTTTTCTATAAATACCTCTTTTCTATGTATAGGAGAGGGAGTTTTTTTGGTGAGTTGATTTCAGTTTATCCTAAGAATTATAGGGTGGATTCCCTAGTTTAGATGAGATGAGAGGGAAGCCACATTGGGTTCCAAGACCTTGCCAAGATTGATTTGACAGGAGTCCCCTAGCCTTTATCTTGAAGTTCCCAATCCACCAGCAGGAAATTCTAAGTGTTTAAGAACATATCCTACCTTCTCTAGTTGGTGTGAGGGTTTGGCTAAAGAACTCGTAAGGTTGGCTTACTGATGTGAAACTACATGAGGTGACAAGAGAAATGCACTTAAAATTAATAGAATGATTGATTTTCTTTGCTACTAAAAACCCTTTTGCTTGATCAAGTTGAGTTTAAGAATTAGACGATGATAAAATTAAGCAATGGCAATAGGTTACATGTAGAGATCACAGTGACTTGCAAAATAATAACTAAACATAAAATAATGCGAATAGCTAGGGATAACAAAGCCCCAAATTTAAAATCTAGATCATTCACCTTGAGAGCTTTCACTCGTTTAATGATTGAGCATATTTAGGAAATCCTCATTTTCTTGAATCAAAAAATCGTCGTTCCTCAGGTTCTCCTGTTTTTTTGTTAATGGAGATCTACTCGTCTGCCCTGTTCCATAGCAGGTGGGTTAGAATAATTCTAGCAGCGTTTAAGAATGGTTTAATTTTCTTTTCATGAGTGCAGTTATCCCTATCCACAAAATTCTTTCTATTTTCTTCTAGTGACATGTTGTAACAGCCCAAACTCTTAAATATCGAGATATTGTCTGCTTTGGCCTAAGAGCCTCACGGTTTTGTCTTGTTGGTGTAACTTTCCACTAAATCACTCATCCCAGAATTGCTCCGGGACGGGCACGCTTAACTGCGGAGTTTCTAACGGAAATTCCAATCATTACACCAAAAGCCGCCTCGATATTTAAGACTTAATTTTCTTTTACTTAAGGGGTTTCACACATGCAGCCGTCCCTATTCACAAAATTGCCAATTTTCATATACAGGAGAACAAGGACTACTACAAATTGATGGCAACCTTAAACATGAATGATGTCAGAGCAATGTGAATTTTTGTAGTTAGTTGCTAGGATCTCGTTTAAGATTTAGGATTTTAGGTCTATTTATACATTCGGTTGTATTATATACAGTGATTCCCACAATCTTGATAGTGTTATAACAGCAATTGTACCCCTTTTTCGTTGCTTACGGTGTCAAGCTTGGCCAATCATAATTATGCATCACAATCTACCCCCTAAGATGTGCATGATAATTCCATATTTCTTAGGATAATCATTCTTAATTTGCATAATCTAAAAGGTAAAATAGATGTCTGCCTACAATCTTCAATGGATGAACTGAAAATTTTATGGGAACAATGTAAACTTGCATATAACATCTCATAGAAATAAAATCTTTAGATGAAAATAACACTTATGTAGGAAATTGGTGGCTTTTCAACTTATGGTATGCTATTATGATGGAGTACTCTGAAGAAACTAGTTTTTCCATATTGCTTGGAGTCGTTGAAGACATTCACATTGAAAAATGGTAGAAAGATTTATTTCTCCAGTTGACATCAAATATTTTTTTGTTGGAAGATCATATACTTAAAAGAAATAAGGATGCTTTCTACAAGAATCGAGTTGAAATTTTTAATACCCTACCAAGATCGAATTAAGAACTATGAAAAAAGGTCTGTAAGATATCCAAAAATATTTAGGCACTTATGCTAACAGATTTAGGCTTCCAAATTATGGTGTTAGTCATAATTGGATAAAGTGAAGTATTGTTTAATTCCTATTCTATAATAGGATGGATTAAATCTGAAATAATATAGTTGTAGAAGAATTTTTTTTACAGATTAGAGAGAGTCGCATTAGATGGTTTGGTCACATAAAACGGCGGCCTTCTGATGACCCAGTTAAGAAAGTAGATGTATTAGATTTGACTTATATTAAGAAAGTTAGAGGTAGACCTAAAAAGACTTGGTTAGAAAATAGTATAAATGACCCTTTTTTATTAGATTTATATGAAAATTTGACACTTAACAGGACACAATGGAGAAAAAGGATTTATGTAGCCGACCCCACATAGTGGGATAAATGCTTGTTGTTGTTTTGGTGGTTGTATATCAATATTGTGAAGGACATTCAAGGAAAATTCAAGGATAACTTCAAAGCAAGAATAAATCTGAAAGAGTATTGCATATGAAAAGATCTAAAGATCCAAAAATTAAGGAATGAAAAAAAAAAAATGTTAAAGTCTAAAGCCAAATATGCACTCACAATAAAATAAAAAAGAGCAGTATATGAATGAGTACAATCCTTGGATATGCAAATGAATAAGCTTCACATTTAAGAAAATATGTGAAGATGAGGTTTAAAAATTTATTTAGGATGAAGAGCCGTAGCTGTAATATTTCAATTCAATTGGTGCCTACTTCCACATGCATTTTCACTGCCTTACCAAAGCAATTTGAAATGCATCAACAAAATTAAACCACTTCATGATTTGTGCTCCACACATTGAGCAAAGATTTCTTCTTTTAGAGCTAATTGAATATTTATATTATATTATGCAAATTTGAAAGAATACTCCACCTGGCTTCTCTTAATTCAATGAAGAACTTTCCTAAACATTTGTTATTTCAAGCAAGAATTAGCTGTCCAATTCAATTTCATTGGATGAATATGATAGGAAACACTTGCAGATTTCAAGTGAATCCTAGCAAGAAAGACAAAAATAGAAAACTCTTCCAAACTCCAATGAAAACCAGAAAAAATAGTAATTTTATTGCAAGAATCAAATAGATCGGAAGAAAATAATAAGATAGAAGTGATCCTCTATTCGAGAGGAGGATCGATATCTCCCAATCTCTAGACGAATCTAGAGCCCAAAACCTAAACCTAAGAGATCCCAAAATCAGCCAAATTCAAGATGCTCTAACCCTAGGAAAACAAAGTATTAAATGCATACAAATCAAAAGGAAATGTCTAAACAATCCCTACATTCAATTTCCCTCCAAAACTTACTCAAAATGCCTTCCTAAAACGGCTCCCGTGGACTTGCGGCTCGGGCGGCTCTTTCAGAGAGGCGGAAGACCTCCGCCATTTCGCGCACAGGTTGGTTCCGCGTGGACCGGCTGGACCGGTCCAATGGATCGGTCTAACAATACTCTCCTCCCAAAGATCCACCTTGTCCGCAAGGTGGAAATACGATACCCTCCTTCATTCCTTCTTCATCACAAATGATAAGAACCTGAAGAGTTTGGTCCTTACACATGTGCCCCGGCATATACCTCTCGTCGCATCTGAAAAAGAGCCCCTTCACCCTCTTCTCCTATAATTTTGTCTCTGAGAGCTTCTTGAAGTTGTCCCCAGGTCTTCCTCCTGCAGTATTTTCCTTCGAAGTCTCTCGAAGAGTATTCAGTGTTGGCTCCTTAGATTTCAATAAAGTATTGGTCATCCTGTACAGGCCTCCTGAGATGCTTCCTCTTGTCTCTCTCTCTCGATGTGCCTCTGATCTTCTACCAATTGAGCTAGCTCTATAGCCTCTCCTAGGGGTGTAACCGAGTCAAGACGGCTCGCGAGCCGGCTCGAGCTCGACTCGATAACAGGCTCGACGGGCCGAGCTTATCGAGCTCGCGAGTCGAGCTCGAACACAGTTTCGAGCTCGATAGCTTATCGAGCTCGAGCTCGAACAGGGCTAAGACTCGGCTCGTCGACTTGACGAGCAGCTCGATTGGGCGACGTGAACGATCTTGGGACGACGACGAACATATGTGCTCGGGAGTCGGGATGACGACGGACATGTTTCGGACGACGGATCTCGACGGCAGAGCCTCGGGACGATGCCGAACGAGCTCAGGCGGATGGATCTCGACGGCGCGGCTCGGGACGACGACGAACGAGCTCAAGCGAACGTATCTCCACTGCGAAGCTCGGGATGACGGCGATTAGACGTGCTCGGGAATCGGATCTCGACGGAAAAGCTTCACGGCGATGAAGAGTCGAGCTCAGGCAGATGGATCTCGTCCGCAGAGCTCGGGCGAATCTGTCTCGACGGCAGAGCTCAGGACGACGACGAACGAACGCGACGGTGAGTTCGGGCGGATAGATCTCAACGACGAGCTCGGGCGGACGTGTCTCGACAGCGGAGCTCGGGCGGGGATCTGGTCGGCGACGGACCTCGGGACGAATGCGGATCCGACGACGACGGGGTTCGGCACGACAGCGAACGAGATGACATTTTTAGCTCGAATTGAGCTCGACGAGCCGCTCGACATGGAGCTCGGTTTCTGGAAGTCGAGCTCGACTCGAACAACCCCTGGCTCGAGCTCGGCTCGACTCGTTTGCACCCCTAGCCTCTCCCAAGTCACGAGGCCTCATTACTTTAACTGCTGCCCGGATCTCTAGTGTTAATCCCTTCACGAAGTTCCCTTCTAGCACTATCTCAGAAAGGCAATCCAATCGGCTAGCAAGGTACTCGAACCTCTCCCGATACTCTATCACTGAATCATCCTGCGTCAAGGCGAAGAACTGCTCATAGAAGTCTCCTCCCCTGCCGATTCGGAAATGTTCTATCAAACAATCCTTGAACTCCCTCAAACTCCGTATGGGTTGTTGCATGTCCCTCCGTTGGTACCAAGCCAAAGCTTTCCCTTCCAAACATAGGTCTGCTGCCGTCAGTCTCTCCTCCTCCATCAACTCATTAACGACGAAATATATTTCAACCTTGTTGATCCACTCGTGCGCATCCTCCCCCTCAAAGATTGGCATCTTCAATTTCCTCACCCTCGGATAGCCTCCGTTCCCTCTGCTCTCTCCATAATTTCCCATTCCCCAAGGGGGTGGTTCCCCCCAAGTGTCCTAATCATCCCTTCTACATTCATACCCAAACCTTCCATCAAATTCTCACCTTCTCCTCTCAAATTCAGCACCCCTTGGATCATAAGTTTCATAACAAACTCTTCCCCTTTCAAATTCAGCCCCCCACCCCTTTGATCATAAGTACACATTTCTCTTTCCAATCTCACCCCTCTCCTCTCTAAATCAGCACATCTTCGTTAGGGGTGTCAATATTTGACCCGACCCGAAAACCCGACCCGGAAAATCCGGGTTGGACCCGACTCGTTTGATAAACGGGTCGGGTTCGGGTTCTCTAATT